AGAACCTGCTCCTAGTTTCGTTGATCTGTTCTACTGTTCTTTTGGTTTCTATTTCATTGATTTCTGCTCTGATCTTTATTATTTCTCTTCTGCTGGGTTTAGGCTTTATTTGCTGTTTTTTCTCTATCTCCTTTCCTAGTAGCCATTGTGACACTTCTCTTCCCTTACTAACCATATCCAGACAAACTCTTTTAGCTCTGCATCAGAACCCATCCCACATCTGACCACTTGTACTCTAGCTCCACTGTCACTGCCCTCTGTAAGCTCTCATTATCTCCTACATGCTCTCTTCTTAACAGCCCCTTGCCTGCTGTCCCGGCTTTCACTATCCCCCATAGGAGCAACTCTCGTTTTTTTTTTTTTAATTAAAAAATTGATTTAATTGACTACACTGTTATGTTAGTTTCTCAGGTGTACAACATAGTGATTGGATATTTTTATACATTATGGAATGATCTTCTTGGTGGGTCTAGCTACCATCTGTCACCACACAAAATTAGTACGATATGATTGACTGTATTCCCTATGCTGTACTTTTCATCCCCATGACTTATTTATTTTGTAACTGGAGGTTTGTACCTCTTAATCCCCTTCACCTCTTTTGCCCTTCCCCACACAGCCCTCCCTTCTCATAATCACCACTTGTTCTCTGTATCTGTGAATGTGTTTCTGTTTTTTCAATTCCCCACATAAGTGAAAATGTGAAGTATTTTGTCTCTCTGTCTGACTTATTTCCCTTAGCATATTACTCTCTAGGTCCATCCATGTTGTCCCAAATGGCAAGATGTCATCCCTTTTTATGGCTGCATGATATTCCATTGTGTATATACCACATTTTCCTTATCCATTTGTCTGTTGGTGGACACTTAAGTTGCTTCCATATCTTGGCTATTGTAAATCATGCAGCAGTAAACATTGGGGTGCACATATCTTTTCGAATTAGTGTTTGTTTTCCTGAGATAAATATCCAGAAGTGGAATTGAAGAGCAATTCTTTACAGTGCTGTGACAGTCATTTTGAAAATACAAATCAGATTATGCCATCCTGCTCACAAACATCCAGCAACTCTGCTTTTCTTGCTCTTTCAAGCTACTGCTGCCCCAATGTCCTTGGACTTACACCTCCGTCTGGAAGTTCCTCCCTAGATCACTTGACTCATTAACTCACTTCATGCAGGTGTCTGCAAAGGTGGCTTCGAAAGGCCTTCACTGTGGGGCACCTGGGTGGCTTAGTTGGTTAAGCCTCTCTTGGTTTTGGCTCAGGTCATGACCTCAGGGTCTTGAGATCAAGCCCTGCATTGGGCTCCCTGCTCAGCGGGGAGACTGCTTCCCCTCCGCCCCTCCCCCTGCCCATGCACCCTCTGTCTCTAAAATAAATAAATAAATCTTAATTAAAAAAAAAAAAAAAGAAGAAAAAGGCCGTCATTGTAATCCACCTAGAATATATGCTTTCCTCTGTTGGCACCTTCTAGCTCCTTACCCAGCTTCAGTTTTTTTCAAGCATTTAGTGTCCTGGCATTATGATGTGCATGTGTGTGTTTAGACAATTATTTATTTTTGTGTTTGTATGTTGTTTTCCCCACTGCATTGCAAGCTCAAAGAGGGATGTTTAACTCACTGCTGTGTCACCTGTTCTTAAAGGTGCCTGACACACAAGCTGACAGTTAATCTTGGCTGATAAGATCGTGAATGGGTAGAGTGGATGTTGGGTAGTGGTGGAGACAGTGTTTGGGAAAGGAGTAATGTACTTGGTAAGTCATGTACTGTTTCATGTTACTTTCATGGCAACACTATGATCTATTTTTCTATCCTTATTTTAAAGAAGAGTAAATAGCTGTGCAGATAGATTAAGTAACACGTACATGCTGATATAGGTTTTAATTAGTCAGTTGATTAAAAAGATTTTTCCTGGGCGCCTGGGTGGCTCAGTTGGTTAAGCGACTGCCTTCGGCTCAGGTCATGATCCTGGAGTCCCGGGATCGAGTCCCGCATCGGGCTCCCTGCTCGGCAGGGAGTCTGCTTCTCCCTCTGACCCTCCTCCCTCTCATGCTCTCTGTCTCTCATTCTCTCTGTCTCAAATAAATAAATAAAATCTTTAAAAAAAAAAAAAAAAGAAAAGATTTTTCCTGAATGCCTCTACTATTTTAAAGAAGAGTAAATAGCTGTGCAGATAGATTAAGTAACACGTACATGCTGATAAATAGGTTTTAATTAGTCAGTTGATTAAAAAGATTTTTCCTGAATGCCTCTACCTAGGTGTTAGGTAGAACTGCCATTCAAATTCACAGTCTGACTGATGTAAAAGGAGTAATGCGGCCAGATGTGTGCTTGAGAAAGCTGGTTGGTAGTAGGTAAGAGGGATGTGGAGGAGGGGTGGATCGGAAGCAGGGAAACCCTTTGATGGATTGTTATCTTAGGCCTGAGCTACTCCAGAGGCAGGGAAGTCAGGAGGAGACTGATGCTAGTGGAAGGATTGTTAGGACTGGTGCCCGAGTGTTTGCAGATCATTAGAAAAGAGACCAGAGTCCCTAACTTGCTAAGTTATGGGACTGTCAAAGGAACGTTCAGAGACAAAAGAATTTAAGCAAGAAAAGAAAAAGGTTACTTACAACAAATGCAAGAAAGTCAGACTTCAGAAGGACTGACTTACCAAATAAAAACCAGTTATTTAAATGGGAAAGAAAGCTGTAAAATGCTAAGGTTACAGGTGTAACCTTCATTGTACACTTTAGTCATGGTAGAAAAACCAGCTTTTTCACATGATTATTCTATATACAAAGGTTATGATACGCTTTTATATATCAGCATAGCAAAATTTGGAACTGAAATTGTTTTAGCTAGAAGTTCAGGTTTATGAAAAAGACTGTATTTATTTTGGGGCCAGAGCTGGGCAGGATGACCTTGTTGGTCTATCCCAGGGTACAGAGTGCATTTTTTCCCAAGAAAACAGGGCAAAGTGTCTTTTCTTTTTTTTTTTTTTTTTGCTTTCATTATTCCATTAGCCAGGCTGCGGTGGAGTGTGTATAGGGATATATGTTAGTGATCTCAGTTCTGCCCCTGGTGGGTCTGGAGTGCCTGTGTGCTTGCTCTGTAGGAGGAGAGGTCCCCATGTGTGAGTGGGGACTGCAAGAGGGCAGCCTGGGTTGGAGCTCAGACTGTGAGCTACCTATGCAGAGACTAGTGGGGAGCACTCAGGGAGGATTCAGGGAGTGCAAATGGAGAGAGCCTTCCACAGAACCTGAGGCACAGGGTAGGAGATAAGGAGTCTGTGAAGAGCACTAATGAGTGGCCTGAGGAGGACAAGAGGAATCTGGAAGTTTAGGAAGAGAGTGTCAAGAAATGGTCATGTTGTCACTTGCCTTAGAGTTCTAGAAAGATAAGGACTCGAAATTCCCCTTTGGGTTGGTAAGGAAAGGATTGTTGAAAAAATCCAATACATGAGAATAGTTAAAAAAAAAAAGCCATGTTAAAAAAAAAAAGGAGCATATGTGAAAACAAAGTTACAGTGCTTAAAACTGTAGAACTGATACAAGAATGACCCCAGTAGATTACAAAATCCAGAAGCATGTTAACAGGATGTAAAATAGTTTAGTGTGTAGTAATAGTATATAGAAAACTCAGAAGGGATAAAGTAAAACACTGAGGTGTTGAATACCTGAAAGTCAAGATCTTCTTTGGAGGAAGGTGGGGTTGTGGGAGGAGTGTCAGGAAGTATGGACGTCTTGGGGAGGGCACAGCTCTGAGGACCTCACTTTCCCAGACTCTCCTGTGTGCTCAGGAACCTTTTCTCTTCAGGACTTTGCCTGACTCCAGGCTGGGCTCTTTACCTTCCATGTCCTGTGTTCCCCACTCCATCCCTGGTCTCTCCTGGGAGCACTGCCTACATAGATCGCCCGTACACCAATCTCCATGTCAAGGCCTGCCGCCAGGAACCCAATCCAACACAGATCTGGAAAAGGACTACATTTCTGTAACTATGCATATGGGGAAACCTGCTTCAAATTCATTGTTTCCACGGTTGGGCTTTTGTGGAATGCTAGTCTCTCGACATACTTGGGGGTAAGGGGTGGGGAAGGGCAGTTTTTAAAACTACTGAGTTAAAATATATTGATGCTATTTGAATGACAAAGCATATTATAAGACATTTTTGATTTAATTTAATTTTTTAAAAAGATTTTATTTATTTATTTGACAGAGAGATAGCGAGAGCAGGAACCCAAGCAGGGGGAGAGGGAGAAGCAGGCTTCCTTTGAGCAGGGAGCCTGATGCGGGGCTCGATCCCAGGACCCTGGGATCATGACCTGAGCCGAAGGCAGACTCCTAACGACTGAGCCACCCAGGCGCCCCAAGACATTTTTAATTTTAAACTTGTATTTACTTCATGCTTATATCCATCGAGTGCTTTTTCTTGTATTTTTTTCACAAATGCTCAGTGGAGTAGGGCAGGTAGTATTGTAATTGCCATTTTACTGGTGTTAACAAACATTGCTCAGAGGGGTAGGGACTTACCAAAGTTTCACATCTGGAGTTGGAACTCTTCCTCAGATTGATGCAAATTCTATACTTTCCCCACTATTCTGATAATCTGAAAAGATTGGTGTATGTCCCGAAGTGTCCAGTGTCACAGAGACTAGCAAGGCTGTTTTGCTGACAGGTCTTTTTATAAGGAAGCGTCAGACAGGGTTTGAATTGTTGATGAGTGGAGCCAAGTCAGTTGTGAGGTCAAGCTGGGTTGGAAAGGAAGGTGATGATGGTTCAGTTGTGATGATGCTGAATTTGTGAAAATGGTAAAGGGTGGAAGATAGTCGGAGATGGTTTGGCAGAGAGAGAAGACTAGACTCTCTTGGTTTGAATCTCACTGAAGGAAAGAATTTGGGAGAGAAAAGTAAGGTAACAAGGATTGAGCTCGGAGAGAAGCCTTGAGGAGCAAAGAACCATGGAGGAAGGGACCCCTGAAAGAAGTAAGAGGAAAACAGGATAGTGTGGGATGATTGGTGGTGAGGACAGGGGTCAGGATGGAAAGGTTATTTTTTCAGACAGGAGGAGGATCACATTTTTCTGAGTCTGGAGAGAATATGAGAATACGCTGGAGGTAATGATTGTAGAAGTTCATATGAATTGGCTTTGGTCTTGATGGAGTAGAAAACCAAGTGAATTGTTTGGCTGGGAGGGGGATACGGTGAGACTTTGGACAGTGCTAAGAGGTGTCAGTTAATGAGTGCTTCCTCTGGGCTAGGCACTGCCCTAGCCACCTTATATGAATTATTTAATGTCATCCTGAAGTCAGCTCCTAATGGCAATGTGGATATTATTCCCATCTTGAAGATAAATTAACTCAGGTTCAGAGAGGTTGCATGATTAGTACATGGTGGAGCTAAGCTTGCACTCAGGTCTGTCTGATGCCAGGGTCTGTGTGCCCACCCTAGTGGTTAACTACTGGGGAGAGAGGAGAAAGATGGGGAATTCCTGTAGCCCTGGCTCACAGTGGTGCTTCAACTCTTATTGAAAAAACCCAACTTCCTCTTACTTTCTAGGGGGCAGATGATTTCTGCTGAAGATTGTGAATTCATTCAAAGGTTTGAAATGAAAAGAAGTCCTGAAGAGAAGCAAGAGATGCTCCAAACTGAAGGCAGTCAGGTGATGGATATAAACATTATGTCACCAACACCTCCTTGTGTCATTAAAAATTCTAGAAAAAATTTTTAATGACTGTGATATTCCATTGTAGGTATGCATCATAATTTAGCTAAAAATCCTTTTTTATTAGAAGACATTTGAAGGATTTCCAGTTCTCTTTGTTCATTTTGGAAAAATGTTATGTTGGGTATGTTTATTCCTCTATCCTTTTCTGCATTTCTGAAAATCTTCCTAGAATAGATTGCTAGAAGGGAAATTAAGTTTCAAAGTATATGTTGTTTTTAAAGTTGCTTAACTTTTTTTTTTTTTTTTTTTAGAAATTTTTCCCACTTTGTATTTTCACTAGAATATGATGCAATCCTACTGTCCATCAGATTTTCTGGTGTGGGGTCCTGATGGCCTGAAAGAGCCTGTATGCAACTCACTCTGATTCTCACAGCAATCCTGGGAAATCTCTGAGGAAACATACTATTGGCTCCAGTTTTTACTGAATTCCAGAGATTATCACACAGTTGATACATTGTAGGATGGAGACAGGTCATGGCCTTCTGATTCTAATTCCTAGTCCCTTTGTTGCTGTAGTGTTCTTCCCAGAAAATGCAAAAACAAAACAAAACAAAGCCAAAAAACCAAAAAAACCAAAATAAAACCCTAAATCAAAATCAATGATAATTTTTGGTTGTCTATGTAACTTAATCTTTCTGTTATCGTGGGCAGTCAAGAGTTATAGTTACTAGGTCTATTTAAAAGTAGTAGACACTTTGAAATTTATCACTAAAAATGATCAAAAATTGAATGCAAATCATAGTACATTCCTCTCATACTTCATCACAGTATTTGTAAAAGGTACACATTTTTTGTAATTGAGATCTGTTGGTAATAGCATTTGTATTAGAATTTGTGCAAGAGAAATAATATTTTACTGAAATTCCATTAAATAAATGTTGTTTGTAGTTGAAAAGTTAACATTACTTTCGTTCTTTTCTAGTGTGCTAAAACGTTTATAAATTTGATGACTCATATCTCCAAAGAACAGACAGTTCAGTATATACTAACTATGGTGGATGATACGCTGCAGGTAGGTATACTCTTTACTTAATACATTTGCTGATGTCATTGTTTTGTATTCTGCACAGTAACAGTATTTTTGTATGGTTTCACTTATACCATGGGTTCTTTTAGAGTTGTAATTGCTAATAGTGTTAAAGATGGGAATGCCCACACACAGGCTTTTTTTGTTTTTCAGAATGTCTAGTAATCAATCTGTATTTTTTTTCCATAATACCTCAAGAGTTCTGTGTCGAATATTGGGGATGTTGGGTGAATCACTTGAGGCTTTCTGGATACTCTTTGTACTTACAGGCAATGTGGCTTTTTCTCTTTCAGTCATTCAACAGATTTCAATGCCCCTGCTGTGTTCCAGGCCAGTGCCAAGCACTGGGGCTTCAGAGTTGAATGTAGGCAAGGTGCTTGCTCTCAAAAGTCTTGTCTCTTTGGAGAACATTTTGCTTATCATCTGAGACTTTTCCAGTTGCATAAAGTTTCTATTTACTGTTTTACTGTCCCTGAACACAGAGGGGCCTCCCTTACTCACAGTTTTTATTTTACACCAGAGTATAATCTCTGTTTAAATTGTTGGTGTACAGAGCGGTTCTCTTTGAGACAGGGCACCTGGTGCTAATCCAGTACCTGACTGCATGTCTCAGGACTTGAAGAACAGTGTCAGTCTGGTTGCTTATGTGGAGTATTGTTCTGTTAGTTTACAAGGAAAAACATTTATTGATGGCCTACTATGTGCCAGTTATTGTACTGATTGTTATTGAAGGTACAGAGGTTAAGTAAGAAGTATGGTGCGGTCTACCTAGGGGCCCTTATGTCATTTATAGGAATGTAGTGATTTTATAATATGAGTAAGGATCAGTATCCAGCCTGGGCTGATACAGGCCTGTCTGAGAATGACCGTGGTATCTCTCAGCATTTTTTTCTTTAGTAAAGTTAAGAAAAATGGGGAATGTTGTGGTCTGCCATGGTTATCCTGATTACTGTATAGGATTGCACCTAGAATGAACAGGCTTGAATTGGCATGCAGACTTTGGTTTTATTTATATGTATGTACACACACATGCATGCACACACAATTATCCTCATTTTTTTTTTTTTTAAGATTTTATTTATTTGAGAGACAGAGATAGTGAGAGAGAGCAGGAGCGGGGAGGAGAGGGAGAAGCAGGCTCCCCTCTGAGCAAGGAGCCTGATGAGGGACTTGATCCCAGGGTGGGATCATGACCTGAGCCGAAGGCAGATGCTTAACTGACTGAGCCACCCAGGCGCCCCACAAATACCCTCACTTTTTATACGTATATCTGTAAATTAGAAACCACGAGTTCACACTGTCTCGTTTCATTTCAGCTCAACACCAGAGTTCATTCTACTCTCCCTTTTCCATATCTGTAACTCTTCTGTGATAGTGAGATCGTGAGTTCCTCTTATCCTTTGTATATTTACTTGTCTGCTCCAACCTATAGCACAAGGAAAGGAGTTTCAGAATGGCTGACATACATCTGTGAAAAATGAGGCCTTTACCTAGAGTTCAGGATTTGTTTGCGGTACTTTTTCTTTAAGCTGAGAGTATGTAGTCAGTGTATTGTGTTCAAGTTTCTTACAGAGTGGTTATATTATTTTTCTTGAAATACAGTTGTATTCATTTGTGATTTTTTTTGTATTCTATTTTTTTCTCATTCTTATAGATTTTATTTTATTATTTTTGATTATGTAAAACACGAACATGCTTCCAGAAGTCAAAACTATACAGAAAGATATACTCAGAGAAATGTCACCAAACCCTCACCCCCATTCCTTGCATTCCCACCTAACTCTTGTTAGGTAACCAGTATCACCGATTTCTGGTTTATCCTTCCTGGTTTTTTTTCCTGCATAAATAGGGGGATACGTAGTAAGAAAATATATATATTTTCTTATTTCCTTCTCTTTCTTATAAAAAACATGTACTAAATATAATCTCTTATATTTTGCTCATCTCACCTAACAAAATATGCCAGAAATCATTCCATATCCATTCGGAGATGACTCCCATATTCTTTTTGATAGCAACAAAGTACTTTTTTTTTTTTTAGATTCTATTTTTAAGTAATCTCTACACCCAACGTGGGGCTCGAACTTCCTGCCCTAAAATCAGGAATTGCACACTCCACTGACTGAGCCAGCCAGGCTCCTCACAACAAAGTACTCTTTTAGTGGATGTATTATAGTTTACTTAGCCAGTCTCTGATGTGATGGACATTGAGGTTGGCTCATATACATATTTATTTTGGTTTAATAAAGTTTTCTTTTTCTTTTCTTTTTTTTTTTTTTTTTAAAGATTTTATTTATTTATTTGACAGAGAGAGACACAGTGAGAGAGGGAACACAAGCAGGGGGAGAGGGAAAGGGAGAAGCACGCTTCTTGCGGAGCAGGGAGCCCGATGCGGGGCTCGTTCCCAGGACCCTGGGATCATGACCTGAGCCGAAGGCAGGCACTTAATGACTAAGCCACCCAGGCGCCCCTAAAGTTTTATTTTTCAAAATGTTCATTGGGTTGGGCCTGATCATGCATCTTCACCAGCAGCTGGAACATCTTCACCTTTGGTGCTTCTAATGTAAATTACTTGAGCTCTCTTTTGAAACCAGTTCATAAGTCCTTTATATAAGGAGCTCCTGAAGGACTTCCCTGGCCAGGGAACCACGAATTTCAGTCTCAGGCAACAATTGGGGTTATAACCTTTATAGTTGGGAACATCTTTACAGAGTTCATCATATGTGGCTTTGTCAGACAAGACAAGCATATTGAGCATGTGCTAAACTTTGCCTTTGGACCACTTTTTCTTTCTGGCTTTGCCTTCACATTTGCTCACTGGGTCTTTGTCTTTCTTGGCCGACTTTCTGGCATCTTTTCTTCTTCTCATTGTCCTTGGGTGGTTCTGATATTTTGTAATTAGAAATAATGAAGCCGAGAATAACCTTGTGCAAACGTATTTTCATATGGCCAGGAGTGTACTTCATGGTAAATGCCTAGAAATAGGATTGCTGGGTAAAGGAGAACTACATACATAGTTTTGTTAAGATACTGCCATATAATCCCATTTTGCAGTCCCACCAGCATATGAGAATGCCTGTCTCTGCAGCCTTGCCAACAGAGGGCATGATCAGAATTTCACATTTTTGCCAATCAGGATGGATCTAAAGTTGAACATGTTCAAATATAGTTTTATTTCTTCTCCTTGTTGACCTATTTTTTATGCAGGATCTGTGGAGGGATTCAGATTTAGGTAGCTGACATTATCCTCAGCTATTGATTAAATACATTTTAACAATTGATTTTATTGGTAAAATTTTAGTTACACTGAGAAATTTGCACATACCCTTACCATATGATTTCTTGTTTAAAAAAATACCGTAATTAGTCATTTCATTCTTTTTTTTTTTTTTTAAAGATTTTATTTATTTGAGACAGAATGAGAGAGAGAGAGAGCTCATGAGAGGGGGGAGGGCCAGAGGGAGAAGCAGGCTCCCCGCTGAGCAGGGAGCCCGATGCGGGACTCGATCCCGGGACTCCAGGATCATGACCTGAGCCGAAGGCAGTCGCTTAACCGACTGAGCCACCCAGGCGCCCCCAGTCATTTCATTCTTAACACTTCTGGATAGAATAGTTTTGGACATAATTGCTTGTTTTTTCTTACCTGTTCAGGTTTGGGTACATAGTTTTGAAGATTGAGATTTTTTTGGTGCTCAGATATCAACAGCAATAGTTAAATGCCTTTGAGAAGAAGGGCTTTATCCTTATTCTCTTAAAGGTTTGTAACTTGAGTACCTGAACAGTGATGGGTGGAAGATAAGTATTTTTTTTGTTTGTTTCTTTGTTTTATTCAAGTTAACATATAGTGTAGCATTGGTTTCAGGAGTAGGACTTAGTGACTCATTATATAACATATATGCTCATACATAAAACATCCAGTGCTCATCCCAACAAGTGCCCTCCTTAATGCCCATCACCCATCTAGCCCATCTCCCTATCCACCTCCCCGCCAGCAACCCTCAGTTTGTTCTCTATAGTTAAGAGTCTCTTATGGTTTGTCTCCTTCTTTTTATCTTACTTTTCCTTCCCTTTCCCCAAGTTCATCTGTTTTGTTTCTTAAATTCCACATATGAGTGAAGTCATGTGATATTTGTCTTTCTCTGACTGACGTATTTCACTTAGCATAATACAATCTAATTCCATCCACATTGTTGCAAATGGCAAGATTTCATTCTTTTCGATGGCTGAGTAATAGTCCATTACATGTATTCATCACATCTTCTTTATCCATTCATCAGTTGATAGACAGTTGGGCTCTCTCCATAATTTGGCTGTTGTTACTAACGCTGCTATAAATATTGGGGTGCATGTGCCCTTTCGAGTCAGCATTTTTGTATCCTGTGGATAAAAACCTGGTAGTGCAATTGCTGGGTTATAGGGTAGTTCTATTTTTAACTTTTTGAGCAAACTTCATACTGTTTTCCAGAGTGGCTGCACCAGTTTGTATCCCCACCAACAGTGCAAAAGGGTTCCCCTTTCTCCACATCCTCACCAACATCTGTTGTTACCTGAGTTGTTAATTTTAGCGGTTCTGACAGGTGTGAGATGGTATCTCATTGTGGTTTTGATTCGTGTTTCCCTGATGATGAGTGATGTTGAGCACTTTTTTTTTTTAATGTGTCTGTTAGCCATTTGTATGTCTTCTTTGGAGAAATGCCTGGTTCATGTCGTCTGTCCATTTCTTAATTGGATTATTTGTTTTCTTGGGTGTTGATTTTGATGAGTTTTATAGATGCTGGATACTGGCTCTTTAACTGATATGTCATTTGCAAATATCTTTTCCCATTCTGTAGGTTGTCTTTTAGTTTTGTTGACTGTTTCCTTTGCTGTGCAGAAGTTTTTTATCTTGACGAGGTCCCAGTAGTTCATTTTTGCTTTTGCTTCCTTTGCCTTTGGAGACGTGTCTAGTAAGAAGTTGCTGCAGCCAAGGTCAAAGAGGTTTCTGC